AATTGCCAATTTACTGGATAAAAATTACCAAGGTGAAAATCCACTGGAAATGGACAGGGCATAAGAATGCAGAAAGACAGACAGATCCATGTGAAAATCTTAGGAGCCCCCTTGACAGGGATGGAGCAGTATCTACCATCTCCAGATTTACAGGCAGTAGGAATGGAGCTGCACCAATCAGCCAGAACCTCTCTTTTCCAATCAAATTAAGGTTTAACAGAGTGTGTGTGTGCATGTGTGTGTGTAAAATGGCAGATTACATACAAATTTCATTTCTTAGGACTGTAAAGCAGGGGTTCTGTTCCTATTAGTGCCCTGTTTTCCAGCACACAGGTACCTAGAACTACTGCTGTATAATTACGTGTTACACAAAGTGCTACCTTTACAGGAAGCCATGACTAAATGCTACTACTAAATTAACCTTTCATGTATTAGTCACTCTTTTCATACAAAAAAAATGGAGTTTGACTCTTCCCTCATGTTAACACCTGCTTTGAACTGACCTCATCTCACCACCTCTGCATGTGATCTGCCATTGAAAGCAGAAGACTGATCTGCTGTTTCAATTAACTTTTCAAGATACATTTTTTTCCTCCAAATATTAATTGTTTGAGGGAAGTTTCACATCTTTCAGGCATATTTTTATGTACATAGCAATACAGGTGTGCTTTGAGCTTGAAATTTATGTAAATAATAAAACAATTCTTACAACCAGTGGGTAGAAAAAAATGTACTATATAATATTTCTCCTCCATTCCCAACCCAATCCAATACTAATAAAGACACTAAGAGGGGATGGTGGAGAATTTTATTTAAAAAATGTTAGGATTCATACTTTTTTTTTTTTTTTAAATAAGGTTGACTCTTACTATAGAATTGCCATAAAACTTGTCTGCATATATACCATACATATATACCATATGTTATAAAATGTTCCCCTTTATAGCAACATCATTAATTTTATTTGGAGGAACTTTGTTGATCTCACCTCTACATGAGACTTTCCCTTGCATAGGAGCAGGTAGAAGGGAATGGTGAATACAGAAGACAGACAGTTGTGTTATATTGTGACTGCACAGCACAGTGGAGTCATTATCACAGCAAAATGTCAGCAACCTGCAGGACGTTTCTCTTTCCCCCTCACCATAAAACGAAAGCAGATCTGCATCTCCAAATTGCATCTTTCCATTGGACTAGACAGTGAAAGCATTACTTAGCAATTATCTTTCTCATACTAGAGATACAGAATGGTAAGTCTAGAAAAGCTCTTGATTCCATAGCTTTTAAAGCTTTTTAAGCTTTAAAAAAAAAACTTTTTAAAGACAACAGGCAGACTGTGACACTGCAGTATTAAGATATTTTTAAAACTGTTTATGTTAACCAATTGTGTCAGCGAAGGAGGAAAACTATGCAGAGAACTATTGACTAAATCACCTGCAAAGGGTTTTTACTGAGAATTGATACTCCTCCCAAGTGAAGCTCTGAGCTGTGCATCACCCTTTGCAGATATTCACAGCATAACTCCAGGTTCCCCCTTTTCACAGGGAAACAATGGATTTCACTGTTTTTCCTCTTCTACCATTACTAGGATTTCACTTTATCCCATTTCAGAATAAATGGTACTCATTAAAATTATTTTGTGCTGTGACCTCAGATTAAAGATGCACCCAGAAAACCCCTACATCTTAAACAGAAAGATAAGTAGGACTAAAAAAAATAATACTTCCTCCTGACTGCTCTCTCTCCCTTTCTAAGATAGTGAGTCTGAGAAAAAAAAAAGTTATCTATTTGAATAAATGAATATAGGAAAGGGATAGTTGGCCTTCTCTGAATATGTTGACTAGCTGAGCAAGAAATGTTTCAAAGACCTTGAGTGCAAGTCTTTGTTTATTGTGAATAAGCAATCAATCAGCCAGAGCACACAACAAGGCCTTGTTCAAACAATGGATAATTCTGAGTGCCTCAGTCACATAGCTTAGATTGAGCAAGTAAGCTTGACATTACTAGCAAAAAGGCAAAGTCAACAGCATAAAAGTCACAGAATAAGACAGTTCAGGGAGGTCCCAAGCACAGGAATGTTAACATACGTTCAAATGGACAGAGGGCTTTCTTGAGATTTTTCTTAAACAAAATGTTTATTATTTAAAGCTATCAAAACTTGCCTTGAAAACTAGATTAAATAAATCCTTNTAGAAACCTTGTTTTCCACACATTACATGTTCACACATGTAGGGATGCTCCCATACTTAAAAAAAAAAAAAAAGAATCCAAGATACATTGTTGCAAAAGCTTCATATTTTGGGGGGGAGGCGGGGGCTTGGAAATTGGGTCAAATGCAGCAGATGTTACTTATGTTGGTTAATGTGCCTGTGAAATTGGGTGCTGTGTGGTAAAAGGAACCAT